CCCTATGGAAGAGTATAGTATCATTTATACAGAATTCTTGTCAGCAAATCAGATCTTAATCAGATTAGGCCCTTAGATCCAACTATCAGTTTGCAGAAAATATGTATAGAGGGTAGAGAAACACATTGATGATATGGTGGGTGAGTAATGGCAAAATCCAGAATGTGGGAAACTATAGTACAAACAAGGTTTTCAACCAATAATTTCAAGCAAAAAAGTAGTAATAAACCTATGGATTAAAAGACAAATGCAATTTATAGACCTTCTTTGGTTTTTGACTTCTGTAAACTAACTTAAAGAAAATGAGAGAGAATTTGGGAAATTTGAATGCAGATTGGATTTTGATATTCAAGGATTATGTTATTATTTTGGATATCGTAGTCATGTTGTAGTTACATGTTTTGAAAGAGTTCTTACATTTCAGAAAATAGTGCCAAAGATTTTTTTCAGAGGAAGTTATCTCCCTGAAATCTGCTTCAAAATTGCAGGGGAGTATGTATGAAATATGATTGTCCTTGAATTGGTAACTATTGAAGCTGGGTAATAGGTATACGATGGTTCATTATACTATTGTTTTTCCTTTGTTCCTGTTTGGAATTTTCGATAATGTTAAAAAGTTTTTGCTCATTCATATTTATGAGGGACAATTTTAAGGAACCATCCCCTCTTCTGCAACATTGGAAGAAAATCTGTAAAAATTTAAACATATAAGCTTATGTTTAATCTCTGTAGAAGTTTTTAATTTTAAAATTATGAAATGCTTATGAAAACTAAAATGAGTTATAATATAATGAACACCTGTTTTACTGATCACCCAAGAAATAAAAAATTAAAAATACAACATGGACTGTAATCTAGTGACATTTTTCTCTTTCATCCCTGTAGGTCATTCCTATTCTGAATTTTATGTTCAATATTTCCATGAATGTATATGTGTGTATATATATGTATGTATGCATTTATATATACACACAATAATATATTGTTTTGAATTTGCATATTTAAAACTTTGTTAATTATATGCTGTACATACTTTTGAAGTTTATTTCAAGATTTATACATAATGACATTTATTTTAATTTCTCCGAATCTCTGTAGAAGTTAATTTTAAAATTATGAAATGCTTATGAAAACTAAAATGAGTTATAATATAATGAAAACCTGTTTTACTGATCACCAAAGAAATAAAAAATTAAAAATACAACATGGATTATTTTAATTTCTGTACTATGTTGGCTAGCTGAAAAATTGGTAAATATTGTATACACTTATTTTTAAATGGTATGTGTGCTAGTCCTTTTTTGTGTTGTTATAAAGAAATACCTGAGACTGATCAGTTTATAAAGAAAAGAGGTTTAATTGTCTCATGGTTCTGCAGGCTGTACAAGAAGCATGGCACTGGTAAAGACTCAGAGAGCTTACAATCATGGTGGAAGGTTAAAGGGGTGCTGGTGTGTCACATGGTGATAGTAGGAATTAGAGAGAGAGAGAGAGAGAGGGAGACAGAGACAGAGAGACAGACAGACAGAGGAGGTGCCACACTCTTTTAAACAACCAGACCTCATGTGAACTCAGAGTGAGAACTGACTCATTACCGTGGGGAGGTACTAAGCCATTAATGGGCAATCTGTTCCATGATCTGAACACCTCCCACTAGTCCCCACCCTCAACATCGGGGATTATATTTCAACATGAGATTTGGAGGGGACAAACATTCAAATTATATCTATATATTAGTTATGTTTTCAAATAATAGGTTCAATATATTTTTTCAGCCTTTAGTCACCTTTTATGGTAAAATACCTACAAATTTAAAGCATTGGATTCAATTGTTAATCCAAAAAAGTATAGTAAATATAATTTTTCTATATGTTTTCAATTTTTTTGTTCATTTTGAAGCATAGTTATGTATTACCTATTCTGTGTTAGCTACTGTTCTAAGTACTGGGTGTATAGAATAAGATATGCAAAGTCTTTACCTTTGTGAAACTTACATAATTTCAAATATTGATAAATTGTATAAATACATTTTGCTATTGGAAGTGGAAGGGCTAGTGGAAGTGGGCACTATATTTTGGTTGCAAGTTGAAATGAGAAGGAGCCAGCCTAGTGAAAAGCTTGAAGAATAGTCCTCTATATGGAGAGGATGGGAAATATGAAGACTAGGAGGTCAGAGAGAAACCTTGCTGTATTCAAGGAACTGATAAAGTCCACTGTGGCTGAATCCTAGTGAATGTAGGGAATCTTATAAGGAATAGACTGAGAGGTACATGGGCTTGCTGACACAGGGCCTGTTATATTGGGCTGCGATATGAAACTAAGATTTTGCGTGAAGTCTAATGGGAAGCCATTGGTTTATAATTTGTTTGCAACTTGATTACATTTGTGATTACAAATCTACACATGTGATAAAATGGCACAGAACTATACACCTACCAATGTCAGTTTTCCTGGTTTTGATATTGTCCTATAGTTATGTGAAATGTAATACTTGGGGAAACTGAGTGAAGGTTATAAAGGACCAGTCTACTATTTTTGCAACTTCCTATGAATCGCTAATTATTTAAAAATAAAAAGTTAAAAAAATTACTGTGTGGAAATGGATTATTGGGCATCAAGAAGGGAAGCAGTCTAGCCATGAGGCTGTGAGAGATGATGATTGCTTGGATGTGGGTAGTAACAGTAGATATGGAAAGAAGTGAATGGATTTGAGGTATTTTACAGATAGAGCTTATATTGGGTTGCAGTGTGGAAAGAGGAGTCTAGATTTTTATCTTGAGCACCTGAATTCATGTGAATTGGAGAAGGTTAAGATTGGAAGAGGAATAGGTTGAGAGGAGGAACAGAAGTTTTATATTGGGCTCATGAGGTTGGTGAAGCTATCAGAGGTTGAGGCTGCTGTTGAACGTAGAGCCAAGTACCATGCGGATTATAACTTTTTTTTTCACTACCTAATTTTTAAATTTTTTTGTGGAGACAGTTTTTTTTTTTTTTTTTTTTTTTTTTTTTTTTTTTTTTTTTTTTTTTTTTTTTTNGGGCGGGGAGAGGCAGGATCCACAGGGTTCTGGGGTTGCGGCGGGGAGGGTTGGGGCAAGTTCGTGGAGACAGTCTATGTTGCCCAGGCTGGTGAGATCGCTCAAGGGAAAAGTGTAGTGAGTGAAGAGAAGTGGGCTAGGACAGAACCGCTGGGGAGATGTCAGTATCTAGAGGTGTGTCAGAGGGCATCTCAAGGGGCAAGAGGAGGAAAATCAGGCATGTATAGAATCATTGAATTGCAAGAAAGTGTTTGAAGAAAAGAGGAGATGACTGGTTTGTATGGTGCAGAGATGTGAATATGTTGGGGATAGAAGTGACCACAGGAGGCTTTTAGGAGATCTCAGAGTTCAGATGGCAACCTGGTGGTTTGAAAAGTGAACAATATGTGGGGAAATGGTGAGAGCAGTATATACTTCTCTTTGGAGGAGTATCAGAGAAACAGCTGGTAGGAGCTCCTAGATCATACTTGTGATGATGATGAAGCATACAAGTCTGCTTAGTGGAGGGGAGAGATAGATGAGGGATCAGAGAAAGTATAATTGAAAGAGAAAGCGAGTACTTTGAGAATGAAAGGGACTGGGAGCAAGTGTACCAATGGATTGTTCTTTGAATCTCTACATACCAGCCAAAGAGAGCCCGTTAAAAGTGAGAACATGTAACTCTTCTGCTAAAAAATTTCCCATCTCACCCATTGTAAAAGCCAAAGTCCTTAAAATTGCTTACAAAACTCTAACTAATCTGCTATTTTTCTCTGTTCTCTCCCATGCCCACCCCAACTCTGACCTCTTTCCTCACTACTGTCTCCTCCAGCCACACTGGCCACCTCATTGTTCATAGAATATGGCAGGTTTGCTCCTGCCCAGGAATCATGGAGTTTGTGCCTCCCTTTTTCTGGACAGCTCTTTTTGCTGGTATCTGCACGGCTTACTATCTTACTTCTTTCAGGCCTGTTCTTTTTTGTTTTTTTCTTTTTTGTTTTTTTGAGACAGTCTCACTCTGTTGCCAGGCTGGAGTACAGAGGCGTGATCTCGGCTCAATGCAACCTCTGGCACCCAGGTTCAAGCAGTTCTCTTGCCTCAGCCTCCCAAGTACCTGGGATTACGGGTGTGCGCCACCATGTCCAGCTATTTTTTTGTATTTTTAGTAGAGACAGCGTTTCACCATGTTGGCTAAGATGGTGTCGATCTCCTGACCTTGTGATCCACCCGCCTTGGCCTCCCAAAGTGCTGGGATTACAGGCGTGAGCCACTGTGCCTGGCTCAGGCCTGTTCTTAAATGGTACTTTCTCAGTGAGGTCTTCTCCGACCACTCTCCCCCACACTTTTTATTCCCCCAGTGTGCTTTTTCTCCATAGTACTTCTATCACCTGACATATAAAATGTACATATTTACTTACTGACGTGTTTCTCACCATAAGAATGTACACTCTATGTGGGGCAGGAAATTTTGCTTGTTTTGTTTATACTATGTTGGCAACACCTAGAATAGTACCATAAGTACAAATATTTGTATGATAAATAGGAACAGGGAAGAAAAGTGGAGGATAGGTAGGCTTAAGGATCTGATGACAGGAAGATGTGTGTATTCTAGCTAGATTTATACCAGTTATGAAGCAGGGCACTAACTGAGAATGCAGTGGGATGGGAGGAAGGATTATCAGAGTTTTGAGGAGAGCAGAGTAAGTGTAAAAGGCCTTTGAGGGTGAAAAGGTGAACTTTGCGTGTGTGATGTAAGATTACTGAACAGGGATATTTGTGACTTACAGTTTTCTGAAATAGAATGTGTTACTCACTTAAGTCAGTAGAATTTTAATAATATTAAGCTGTAGAACAGAGTAAGGAAGCGTAATGTGTAAATGCTTACTGTTTTTAAAAGAGTAGAATTGTTTTTAAACAGTGATCTTTATAGTATTGAATATTCACAGTTGATTTAGAATGAGCCCTAACATCCTATATTCTTTTTAGCCTTACCAATAATTCTAGGATTGTGGGACTCCTGGCTCAGCTGGAGAAGATCAATGCTGAATCCTCAGAATCAGATGCTGCCCGATATGTTACATCAAAAATTCTTCATCTGGCTCAGAGTCAGGGTAAGCATTGATCCCTTCTTTTGTTTTTGAAATGCTTTTTTAATTCTTTAACAGTGGATGCTAAAAATGTCCAAACTTTTAATGAATGGATGATTTTCCTTAAAAATTGAACTTTCAGGCTGGGCGCGGTGGCTCATGCCTGTAATCCCAGCACTTTGGAAGGCCGAGGCAGGCAGATCACAAGGTCAGGAGTTTGTGACCAGCCTGGCCAATATGGTGAAACCCCATCTCTGCTAAAAAATATAAAAATTAGCTGCGCATGGTGGTGTGCGCCGGTAGTCCCAGCTACTCAGGAGGCTAAGGCAGGAGAATCGCTGGAACCTGGGAGGCGGAGGTTGCAGTAAGTCGAGATTGGGCCGCTGCACTCCAGCCTGCACAACAGAGCGATACTCTGTCACAAACAAACAAACAAACAAACAAACAGAACTTTCTCAAATTGATTCAAGAGTAAAAAACTGAATAACTCTGGAGGAACTTAATCTTTAAAGCGTTGTTTCTAATAATGATTATAATTTTACTTATATATGATTGCCCCTCCCCACGCCCCTATTTACAAATAGCACCTAATTCCAGTGCTACTTGATGTAGATTTTTGGCAAAAAGAAATCAAGTGGCATATAATATTGGTTATTATGTGGTCCCCACTTTGAAATTCAAGGTCTACCATTCAGTGGTTGGGTATCTTAGGGAAGTTACTGAATTTCTAGGATGTGTAATATATAATAGCTGTACCACCTTAGAAGTAGATTTACATGAGAAGTAGATTTACACGAGAAGCATGTAAAAAGAATGTTAAAAATGTTCTATAAATGTCATCTGTAGTTAGACATTATTTTTATATTTTATGAAGGCAGTAGTACTAAATTGATATCAAAACCCTGATGGAGTACACAAATAGTATTAACTTTATATTTAGGAACATAATGTGACAAGGCTCAAATAAAACAGTGAATTAAGTCTATACATGGAAATATGAATATCATTGTTAAAGAATACATTTCAGGAATAGAAAATGGTTTAATATCAGGGCACGTATCAATATAGCATTATCTGAATAGGTTGAATAAAATCCATGTAATTATCTTAATAGATAGTAAAAAGGACTTTGATAAGACTAAAAACTGCATGATTTAAAACACACACACACACTCTCTCTCTCTCTCTCTCTCTGAATAAGAGAAAACCAGCAGCTACTTTAATATTTAACTGCACATAAAAGGTATTTGTTAGAATTAAGGTTCAATAATTATAATCCTTATTTAATTTTTAAAAATTTCATTATTCCGGGGGCTTAAGTTATTCAAATAAGAAGTTTGGCAGGCATTTACTGTTTCAAGAGCTCGGTATCTATTAACCCTTCTTCTTGATTATAGACCCTTATATTTATTTTGATAACTTTCTCCCATGTAGCCCATGATTTGGAGGGTAGTTGATACCACTCCGTTGTTTCTTGCATAATTTAAAATACCTGTACCTTTTAATTAAGAAAGCCACTATATTGGATTCCAGGCTCTGGAAATATTGTACTTATCACCTAAGGAACAAGGATTTCATTGTATCAGTGCAAAATTAAATATGCCAGGTAGATTCACTGCATTGTCATATGAAATACTTCCTCCTCAAATAAACAAACACCCAATAAAAACAAAAGAAAATGAATCCTTCAAACCTGTAGATAAACACTTTTGTTCATTGTTCCTACCACTGTAGACTCTTCTTTGTGTCACAACCTGGAAGCCCCTACTCCAGCATTACCACTGAAAATACTCCTAACTATACCACTATCAGAGACTGACCCTCTCCCCACTTTTCAGCCACCACTGGTGTCCAACTCCTGAATACTGTCCCATGGCGTGTGTAATAAACTGACTCTTTTTATAGTGCCTGGGATTAGCTAACCAACACAGTATAAGTTGTTAGTGAAAGATTGTCCCATCCTTTATAGGATAATCCAGTTAGCTACCCATTTGGGAGAGAAAGTTTGGAATTTACAGTTGAAATAAGAAATGCAAACAACCAAGAAATGTACACAAATTTTCTTTACTTCCTTACAGCTCAGGAACTGTTAATGAAAACAAAGATATCTTCACTAGTCAGATTGACAGAAATTAGAATGACAATATCTGGTACTATTGAAGGCATGGGGAGAGGATTCTCTCATACACTGTTGGCAGTGCAGTAATTATTACAAACTTGTAGAAAATAATCTGGCAATGTGTAGTAAAACAAATTGCACCTGGTATTTGACTCAGCATTTTTACTTTAATATACATATATTATTTATATATATATATATAGTTGAAGACAGAGTCTCACTCTTTTGCCTGGGCTGGAGTGCAGTGGCATGATCTTGGCTCACTCTAACCTCCACCTGCCAGGTTCAAGTGATTCTCTTGTCTCAGCCCGCCAAGTAGCTGGGATTGCAGGCATGCATTACAACACCCAGCTAATTTTTTATATTTTTAGTAGAGACAGAGTTTCACCATGCTGGTCAGGTCTCGAACTCTTGACCTTAGGTGATCCACCTGCCTCGGCCTCCCAAAGTGCTGGGATTACAGGTGTGAGCCACTGTGCCTGGCCCAGAAATATATTTTAACTGAAATAAAAATGCTGGTAAAAGAGAGTATAGGGCATCATTTGTAATATTAAAGATCAAGAAACAATCTAAATATCTATCATTTAGAGAATGTGTAATTTTTGATATAGCCAAACTGGAAATTTCTAGCCATATTATGCAGCTATTATGAATAATACATTATTTATGATAGGGACTCTTGTAATCCCCACACCCAGGCTCACCCCAAACCAATTAAATCTTATTGTTAAAACTTGCCAGATGGTTCCGAAATTGAGAGCTACTGCTCTAGAGCAGGGAATGGCTAGCATTTTCTGGGAAGGGCCATATAGATGTATTTTAGGCTTTGTGGGCCATACAGTCTCTGCTGTGTAGCACAAGAACAGCCATAGATGATACATAAAGAAGCAGTCATGGCTAAGTTCCAATAAAGTTTATTGTAGACACTGAAAAAAAAAAAAAACAGTATAGTTGAAACATACAGTTCATATGTGGAAATATATGAACTGTCTTAGAGGCTTAAATTTAGTATATTGCATACAGCAAGTTTCTTCAGTTCATATGACTGTAAATGCTTATAGTCTCATTTTTGTATAAAATATGTATAGTGTCATTTTTGTGCAAAATAAACCATTATATTTCTATGAACCAGGCCAAAAAATAAAATAAAAAGAAGGATATATACCTAATTGTTAGTAGTAGCTATATTGTTGGGATAGGAATGGAGAAGAATAAGGTAAGCTCCTAATTTTATTTTAGATACTTTTAAATTGTTGTAACAAGCATATACTACTTATACATTTAAATTATAAAAAAAAACCAACCTCTGCAGCACACCGTGTTCACACAATTAACTTATAAATTTCCATAATTTGCCTCTCATTAACTACGTATGTACAGTGAACATGGTTATTTCTTGCAATTTCCCCTTAGTTTTTTTCTTAGATACATTTATATTATCTGTTTTCATGCAAATGGCTAATTTGTTGGCCTGTGGTCGTTGCTAATCTTTCTTTATAATGCTTTTAGTTTCCATAGAGTAGAGAGTGATGTTCTGTCTTTCATTCCTGATTTTGATTGTGTCCTCTCTTTTTTCATGGTCTGTCAGCTCATTGGTTCTCAACCAGGAGTGATTGTGTTTGCCCTACTTTTTTCCCGAGGGACATTGGCAATGTTTGGTGACATTTTTAGTTGTAAATTTTTTTTTTTAAGGGGGGCTTACTGGAATCTGTTAGAAGCTGGATATGTTGCTGAACATTGTATAATATATAGATCAGCCCCCAACAAGAAAGAATTATCTGTCCCAAAATGCCAACAGTGCTGAGGTTAAGAAACCCTAGCCTAGCAAAAAGTTTAATTTTGTTGTTCTTAAGCCAGGCGCGGTGGCTCACGCCTGTAATCCCAGCACTTTGGGAGGCTGAGATGGGCGGATCATCTGAGGTCAGGAGTTGAGACCAGCCTGACCAATATGGTGAAACCCCATCTTAAAAAAATAAAATAAAATAATTTTGTTGTTCTTTTTAAAGAACCAATTTCTGGTTTAATTGATTTTCTCTGTTTTGTTTCACTGATCTTCTTTTATTTATTGCATTCTTCCTTCTGCTTGTTTTGAGTTTAATTTGCTTGTTTTGAGTTTAATTTTATTTGGAGATGGAATTTCGCTTTTGTTGTCCAGGCTGGAGTGCAATGGTGAGATCTCTGCTCACTGCAATCTCTGCCTCCTGGGTGCAAGCCATTCTCCTGCTTCAGCCTCCGAGTAGCTGGGATTAAGGGCACTTGCCATTACACCCAGCTAATTTTTTTGTATTTTTAGTAGAGACAGGGTTTCACCATGTTGGCTAGACTGGTCTTGAATTCCTGACCTCAGATGATTCACCCAGCTTGGCCTCCTAAAGTGTTGGGATTATAGGCATGAGTCACCATGCCTCGCTGCCATTTTCTTACAGTGGAAGCCTAGATTATTTATTTGAGACCATTATTTCTACTGGAGGCATTCAAAGCCATAGATTTCCTTGTAAACATTGCTTTAGCTACATTCTACACATTTTGATTCATTATATTTTTGTTTTAATTCAGTTGACAATATGTTCTAATTTTCTTTGTGATTTTTTTTTCTTTGACCCATAGGTTTTTTAGAAGGGTGTTGTTTAATTTCTCAGTATTTCAGGATTTCCTAAATTTCCTTCTGTTGATTTCTAATTTCTGTTGTGGCTGGAGAATATACTTTGAATGATTTCAATCCTTGGAATTTCTTGAGACTTGTTTTATGACTTAGTTTACGATTTCTCCTGAAAAATGTTCCATGTGTACCTGAAAAGAATGTATTTGGCTGTTGTTGGCTGAAATGTTCTATATATATCAATTATGTCAGGTTAGTTGATAGTGTTGTTCAGATCTCCTATATAGTGTTGATTTTCTATCCAAAGTCTCTGTTAATTATCAAGAGTTAGATATTAAAATCTTTATTTTCTTTAAAATTTTTTCTCCCTTATTTTCTCTATTTGTCTTGTGGAAGTATAATTATACATATATTAGATTTTTGATGTTTTTTCAGCAATTGTTGAATTAAGTTTATCTTTTAAGCTTAATTCTCTGTTATTTGGATAGGATAATTTCTGTTGTTCTATTATTCTATTGTTCTAAATTACTATTATCCTGTTGTTCTAAATTATTGTTCTAAAACTGCAGAAACTGCAGTTTCTGCCTCTTTCCTGTGCATTCTTCCAGGCTATCTGGTAATTTATTCCAGATTTTTTTTTTTAATTCTCAAATGTTCACTTGGTTCTTTTGTGTTTGTAGTTTTTATTTCTCTGCTGTGTTTTCCCATCTTTTCCTTCATTGTGAATTTCTTTACCTTAATGTCATTTTATTATAATAGCTGCTTTAAAGTTCTTATCTATAAATCTAACATTCAGATAATTGAAGCAGTTGAAGAAAGAATATAGCATTATAAGAACTGTGAAGGATTATATTTAAAGAAGCCAAAGGAAGATGCAGTAGTCAACAGTGTTAAGTGTTAGGAAGGTTAATTAAAGATCTTTTTGATTGGATTATTAACAAATTATTGATCACAACGAAAGCACTTTCAAGTGGTAGAATTAGACAGAAGATTGTAGTTTCTTATAATGTGAATGGCAAATGAAATAATTACAGGGAATATAGAGTACTTGTTTGGGGTGCTTACTGAGAAGGAAAGAAAAGAGGGAAATAGAAGGGGTGGGAGAGTAAAATAAGATTTGGTAAGTATGTGAAATAATAAAAACTGTATTTGTTGGTTGGGGGGAACAGCCAATATGTTGGTGGACATTGAATTTAAAGATTCATAAGAAGGTAGAAAGTTGAGGTCAGAGGATTAAGACCATCCTTGCTAACATGGTGAAAAACCATCTCTACTAAAACTACAAAAAATTAGCTGGGTGTGGTGGCACATGCCTGTAGTCTCAGCTACTCAGGAGGCTGAAACAGGAGAATCGCTTGAACCCAGGAGATGGAGGTTGCAGTGAGCTGAGATCATGCCACTGCACTCCAGCCTGGGCAACAGAGTGAGACTCCATCTCAACAACAACAAAAAAAAAGTAGAAAGGATGGAATTCAGAACATAGAAGAAAGGACATTTCTTCTGAACCTCCACTTCTTTACTTCTTTCTGCCTTTTACTGGGAGAAGGAATGCAAGATTGTCAAGGATTTCAGTCCAGGACCAGGTAGAGTTTGGCTGTTATTAGTAAAATGTTATCTTTGTTAACTGATTACTTTGCTTCATTTTAATGAGGAAAAATGTAGGTTCTGAGAAGTCCATAGAATGAGAGGAAAGATTGAGGGTTAGTATAAATGTTGGAATAGCTATGGGCTATGACGGGCGGATGGTGATGGATGTGAACTAAGGTAAGTGAAAGGAGTAGTTTTGTGTTCCCAGGTGAGGTTGGAATTCGTTAATTTTATGGCACTAACTGTCTTAAATTGGGAGAAGAAATTCTTGTGGTGTTATTTTTACCCTGATGTAGGAGTAGGGAACTCAGCTTTTTGGGATTCACTTCTGTATTAGGGTTTGTGGTGGGAAAGTTGGTGGGTGCGGGTGTACTTGGAATCCAAGCTAAGTATGGAGGGGACTGACACTGTGGGAAAACAGTGCCACCTTGCACTGGATAAGAAGTTTCAACAAAGGTGACAGTGAGGTTTATATAGTCTTTATAAAGGAAAGAGGAATAGAAATGTTACGAGGTTATGGTCTGTAAGTGGAAGATTAGAGGTTAAGATACCAGAGGCAGAGAAGTTTGAGTCCTGAGAGTGGACATTCAGAGGGTTGATGAATTAGAGCATAGAACGAGGGATTTTGTTATGAGGTCAAGAAACTATGGAACTCGGTATTTGAATGAATTTTCCACACTGACAGTGAAGTCTCCCAAGGCCATGGCAGAATTTGGAATAGAGTAGAAAACTGTTAAACGCCTATTTTTCATTTAGTGTAAGGTGTAAACAGAACAGTGGTGAACATTAACAAAGGGAGGCTGCACTGCTGTCTTCAAAGGAAGAGAGTTTTTTCCCCTTCATGGAGGTGGAAATGTAATGACTTGTTAGTAGTGATATTAATATTGAAAAATAATTTGGCTTTAATATTAAATCAGGGGCCTTTAAAATATTACATCAAGGGTACATTGGAGATTTGAAACCATGTTTTATTTTATCTTACAACTCAATATTTTTTGGTGGAAGCAGCAGGGCTGGAGAAAAAGTGGATAGGTTGCGTTGTCAAAGGAATGACATACTTTTTAAAAAGGAGAAATTTAATTTTACTATCATGACTTTTTTTTTCTAGGTGAATTTTATATTCTTTTAAGCATTAGCAATGTGGCAGCAAGGAATTGATGAACATTGTTTTAGGTCTTCATATCACTTAATAGGAGTTTCTGTTTTGAAAGTTGCAAGATTTCTGTCAGTTTATTGAAATCCATTAACTGAACCTGAGATGATGCATGATAGCATGAGATTGTTGTTTTAAGATAAATATGACATGTTCTCTCCAGCATATTTATTTTGTAGCTAGTCATAAGTAGTTGTTATAAATACCATTATACTATATCCTTTCTGTAGTACATTTTTCCCTCTATTTACTCCTGATTTAGAGTAACTTAATTTTCAAGTGACATCAGACTCATGAAGTTGAACAGGATTTGCTCAGAGCAAAAGTATGATGTTCTAAAGGCTTAGCCTGAGTTTGTTTTTCTCCCATCTGTGTTGATATTTTCCTTTAATCAGGCCTCACTGCTTATTGTTCTGCTCTTAAATTCCCTTGACTATCTCCACATGGAACATAGACTTTGGTATCAGTCCTTTGAATTTCATTGTGGAATATGTACTGTATTGAAGGTGGCTTGTATTCTATTTTTAAAATCTCAAAATGTGAAATAAATGGCACTGTCTTTAAAAGAATTTCTGGCATTAGTATTCAGGTTTGACCTGCTAAAAGAATGATTCCTGTGACTCTTGTAGAAGTACATTAAATGCTGGAAGACTGTAAGTTTTGACTTCAGAAACACATGGATCATCTGGTCTTTTCACTTATTTGCCCAGCGATTTGGTCTCCTTTCTGAACTTAAATTTTTAGATCTGGAAAAGAGTAGTTTTTTTCCCCCAGAGGATTAAAGTGAGTTATAAGTGAGATAACACAGGTAAAGCACATGGAATCGTAAATATGAGTTCTTTTTCTAAATGTTGGCCTAGGATGTACTTTTATTCTCCTGTTAATCAAAGGAGAAGAATTGTGAAGAAGCTCTAGAAACCTTCACCTAATAGAAATAATTTATGCTATTTTAAAAAAACTGATCCTAAGGAGAGGAAAAGGATCATTTGGGTGATCTGGTCTCCAGATGGTTTCAGAGGTAGATTTTCCTTTGTTTTGATTATTTTTGTGTGATACAGAATTTTGAAATAGTGTTAATGTAATGAAAACATAGGAACATGGTAGTAGGTTTTGTTTTCACTCATTTTGATGAATAGTTTTCTAGTTCTACTCATGAAGATGAGGTAAGACTCCTACCTTACCCCCAGTTCTGGCACCTGTACTATGTTATTGATTTTAAGATTTTAAATGGATGAATAGGGAATCACCTGGTTCATGACTGATGTGATGAAATGTGAAGAAGGTCATGTTAACTGAGATCTCAAAGTCCTCATAGGGTAGAATTAGCAACATCAGAGGGAAGAACATCTACGAACCAAGTTAGAGTGTTTACTGGACCAGTGGAGACTAGTTGAATCCATATTAGCTATATGCATCAAAACTATGCATACTTTTAAACATTTATGCTTTAGAAAAAATTATTTTCTACTTTTCAGAAAAAACGAGGAGAGAAATGACAGCCAAAGGTTCTACAGGAATGGAAATTCTGCTGTCAACATTAGAGGTAAGTCAGTGACATGCTTTTATTATGTAACTAATACCAAGCAATACCGAAGAAGAAAAAGCCTATGTGTGTGTATAAATACACACAGACACACATACACATACATGTATATATGTAACAATTTTTATTTTAGAGACAAAGCCAGTGAATGGAAATTCATTTTATGTTTTTTTAAATACTATTTGGAATGGTAGTATAAATATTCTAATATGTATTAGGTGACTACTGAAGTATATTTCCCTTATGTGATTATAGTGATAACTGTAAATTATAATCCTAACATGCCATTCTAGTTGGCAATAAAAAATAAAGCATTAGCTGGAAATAAATCTTCAGCTTAAAATAAATGGTTGAAGATGATCATTTATTGTTTCAGCTGATATACATTTGTGATTTTACTACACATATTGGTTAACTATATTATATTGACAATAGCTGAATTTTTATGCCAGTGTAAAAGTTTTGGGTGGACTAACAGGATGTATTCAGAATCAGGATTCTGTATTTTGTTCAGTTGCAATGCTAAGAACAAGTGATTAGTTCATGTTCTTCAATAGGAAGTCTTAGCATCATAAAGATGTCATTTCTCCCTAGATTGATCTGTTACTTTAGAGTCTCAATAAAAGTTACCAACAGTTTTGTTTTTAAAGTCCAAATAGGGAGATATAATCAGCAAAATATAAAAGCACATTTCTGAGAAAGAAGATACATGAGAAGGGACCATCCCCACTAAATATCAAAGAACATTAGAAATCTTCAGTAATTAAAATAGCTTGGAAATTATGCATTAGTAGAAGATAGACTACTACTATAGTATAACAGAATAGAAAATCCAAAAATAAAATGCATTTGGGAATTTAGTACTATTTAATAAAGGTAGCATTTCAGATTAATGAGAAATAGAGTGATTGGAAGCTATCTGGAAAAGTGTAACATTGAATCCTGACTTCCTCCATCCCATACCCAAATAGATTCCATACGAAGCAAAGATTTAAGCATGGAAAATAAAATTGTAATATTAGAGAAAGATAGAGAAATTTAAAAATAATCTTATAACAAAGAAGGCTTGTTAAGTATGAGAAAATAGAAACTATAAAAGATTGATAGAGTCAACTACATTAACAAAAGGATGTGGATAAAAACACCATGGATACTTGGAAAATTGAGGAAAAGTATTTTGGCTTGTATAATTTATTTGACATGTGAAGAACTTCTTCAGTTAGGAAGGAAAAAAAATAACCTCAAAAACCATGTAAAGGCTATGGGCAGTTCTCAGAAAAAGAAACACAGATGTCACCTTAGATTAAGCATTACTCTTAATAAGATAAATAAAACCGAAGTACATTGTTTAAGCATTTTCACTTATTAGATCGGTTGTCCAAACTTGGGGAAATAATTACTCTTCTGAATTTGCGGGTGGGAATGTTAATTATTTCATAGAGAGTAATTTGGCAATATCTATTAAAATAAAGGCCCATATTCTTTGACCTTGAAATTATAGGAATTTACCTTACTTACACAGATGTACTTTACTACGTGTAAATATATATACTTAGTTAAATTTGAAACTTTTAAAAGCACGATATTAAAAGCAACCTAAATATCTCATGGGTAGGTGACTGGTTACATAAATGATGATATAGCCATATAATGGAATATATCCTATAGCCCTCAAAAAGAATAAAGAAGCTCTTTATCTATTGATATGTAAAATATCAACATGCAAAATAGTACCTATAGGGCAATACCATTTGGAGAAATAAATCTGTATGCACATGTATATTTACATGGATTTCTTTTATGTGTGCATATTATCCTTGGCAGGATGCACAAGAAATTGATAATGTGATTGCCTTCTGAGAGGGCAGCTAGGTGATTGAGTAGTCACCAGACATATATTGTAGTGCCATTTACATTTTGATTCATTTATTATCTATTTGGTAGAAAAATGACAAATTGATTCTTGTAATAATGTTGATGTTAAGTAATAACTCAAAATAATTTATTAACATTCTTAAAAGCAGAAGGAAACAGAAACTAACATGATAAGAGAATAGTGAAAACCTGAATACATTTGATTCTAGAGAAATTGGAAAGGTCATTTATAAAATATCACTAGTTCCCAATGGATACAAAAGTTTGGGAATCAAAAGTTTACAATGTTTTAATAAAATAAACTATTTATTTCAGAACACTAAAGATCTTCAAACTACACTTAATATCTTAAGCATTCTTGTTGAGCTGGTATCAGCTGGTAAGTTTTTGTTTCTTTGGTCTAATTTCTGTTTCTAAACAGTGATCAACAATGTATCATATTCACTTTATTTGGAATTTTCTAATACTCTCATAGAGGCTATTCTGAGTATTGGAATTTAGAAACTGAAATGTCATACTTTGTTGTTGTTGCTTTGTTTTTGTTATCTTTTCAAGTATCTTCAGACAACCCCATAGCCATGTATTTCACAGCCTTGAACCTAGAATTTCAGCATGATTTGTGTTTACCCTTTGTGTGCCATTTTCTAATTAAATAAGTGAGATTAAACAAAATATGTTGATGGTATTTGTTTGATTTGATTGATTGATTGATTGAGACAGAGTTTCGCTCTTGTAGCCCAGGCTGGAGTGCAGTGGTGCGATCTCTGCTCGCTGCCACTTCTGCCTCTTGGATTCAAGAGATTCTCCTGCTTGAAACTCCCAAGTAGCTGGGATTACAGATGTCCCACCACACCTGGCTAACTTTTGTATTTTTAGTAGAGACGGGGTTTCACCATGTTGGCCAGGCAGGTCTTGAACTCCTGACCTCAGGTGGATCTGCGTGCCTCAGCCTCCCTAAGTGCTGTTATTACAAGCCTGAGCCACTGCACCCAGCCATATTTGTTAGATTTTGGAAGTCATCACTTTTAAGCATTTCTTGAATGCTAACAAGTTGTGATACCTAATATGGGAGGATTTGTTGTTTAAATTTTTTTTATTTATTTATAGGTGGAGGTCGAAGAGTGAGTGTTTTAGTCACCAAAGGTGGTTCACAAATATTGTTGCAGTTACTTATGAATGCCAGCAAAGAATCTCCCCCACATGAAGAGTTAATGGTACAGATTCATTCTATTCTTGCAAAGATTGGACCAAAAGGTAAGGGATTTCATTTGTATGAGTATAGAATCTAGAACTAATTTTGTAACATTGGTTCTCTTCACCTTGTAACTACTCAGTTTTTAAAAACGTTATTTATTTTAAATTTCTATGGATACATAATAATTGTACATGTTTATGGGGGTACTTGTGATATTTTGATACAAATGTATAATGTGTAATGATCAAATCTGGGTACATAGGGTATCCATCACCTCAAACACTCATTACTTCTTTGTGTTGGGATCATTCCAAGTCTTCTCTTTATTGAAATATATAATATTTTGAAATATTATAATAAATTTTGAAATATATAATAAATTATTTTAAGCTATTATTGCCCTCTTATATTACCAAACACTAAATGTTGTTCCTTCTATTCAAATGTATTTTTGTATCCATTAACAAACTCCTCTTCATCTCCTGCTCCCCATTACCTTTGCCAGCCTCTGAAAACCACTATTCTGTTTACTGCCTTTGTGAGATCAATTGCTTTAGCTTCCGCATATGAAAGAGAACATTGATATTTACCTTTCTCTGCCTGTCTTAATTCAGTTAACGTAATGTCCTCCAGTTCCATCCATGTTACTGCAAATGACAGGATTTCATTATTTTTTTATGGTTGAATAATATTCTATTATGTAGATAAACCACATTTTCTTTATACGTTCATTCATTGATGGACACCTAGGTTGATTCCATATCTTGGCTGTTGTGAATAGTGCTGCAGTAAACATGGGAATGCAGATATTCTTCGGTATACTGATTTCCTTTTGTTTGGATATATACCCAGCAGTAGGATTACTAGATCATCTGGTAATTCTATTTTTAGTTTTTTGGGGAACTCCCATACTGTTTTCCATAGTGGCTGTACTAATTTAGATTACTGCAAACAGTGTATGAGTGTTCCCCTTGCCTCTCATCCTCACCAGCATTTGTTATTTTCTGTCTTCTTGATAACAGCTGTTTTAACTAGGATGAGATGATATCTCATTATGGTTTTGATTTGCATTCCCCTAATGATTAGTAATGTTGAGCATTTTTATCTATACTCATTACCCATTTATATGTTTTCTTTTGAGAATATTTATTCAGATCTTTTGCCCATTTAATTTTTTTCTTTTTTAGCTGTTGATTAATTTGAATTCCTTGTATATTCTGGTTATTAATCTCTTGTCAGATGAATAGTCTGCATTTTCTCCCATTCTGTAGGTTATCTCTTCACTTTGTTGATTGCTTCCTTTGCTGTTCCAAAGCTTTTTAGCTTGATGTAATCACATTTGTCAGTTTTTGCTTTGGTTACCTATGCTTTCAAGGTCTTACTAAGTAAATTTTTGCCCAGACCAATGTCTGGAAGCATTTCTCTAATGTTTTCTTCTGGAGAGTGCTTAATTTTTAAAATCTAAAATGCTATACCTTTTTCTTAGACTTAGAAATGAAATGCTTTTTTATTATAGTCAAGTAGTGACCTGCAAGAACTGAGGATCCAAAATTTATGAGGAATTCTATTGCATGTAGTAGAAAAAAGAAATATTTTGGGTCACAAGTGTATCTTGGGGTATGTGTATGTCGCTCAAGTGTGTTTATAAAGCATACATACAATATGGATATTGTTGAGGCTAGAAGGAAGAAGTATGGATGGGAATATTTTTAAGAACATGGAGGTAAAATATGTCATTGCTTTCTTTAATAGTGATATTTGTGTTGCATAGCGTGAATGCTCAGGAAACTTACAATCTTAGTTAAGACAAAAAGAAAAATTATGAGACTAGTTATTATAACAGTAAGACATAAAATATTAAAAAATGTAAATTGAGGAAAATAGGATATAAAATGAAGAAGCTGATTGAGGTTAGGTTAACTAAAGAAGGCATCCTTTGACTAGAACTCAAGTTCAGTTTACAGTTGTCTACTTATACAAAGATTAAAGTAGTTCCCTAAGTTGTTAGAATTGTGTTTTAAGAGTTTTGCCTTTGCCGGTGGCATACATATGACTTTTAAACTAGAGTGTTTGGCTAAAATGCATATTGGAAAAAATGAGGATGTGTGTGTACATAGTTTGTGTATTTATTAATGTATGTATTTCTCGCATATCTTTATGTATTGAATAAGTAATTAACTAGTAGTTTTTATAGGTGGTGTTTTAAAGAAAGGAACTCTGAGGTGACTTTAATTTACCGGGTATGTTAGGAGTCTTAAGACGTAAGCATGTATTCGATTTATTTAAGAAATACGTTAACTGTCTCTTAATTTCTTTAGATCTTGTATTTAAGATTTAAAGACTTTCTTTTGAGATTTTTGTGGAAAATGAAAATGAAAAAATCATAATTTGGCAGAAAATTCATTTTTAAACCCCCGCCCCTTATTGATTGATGAATATTGTTGTGCTTCCTTTTCTAATTAGTTAGGGCTTATAGTAGACATTGGAGATATAGAAGGTGGCAGGGTGGGTAGGGGGTGAACGTTGAAAAATTTAAATAATTTTAAGTTTTCTACTTTTCATGAAATTAAGATATTGATTTTTAAAATATTTCTTATTCTTTAATATACCTTTTAAGTTTTAGGTCATCTTTATTTTGTTTTGTATATTCTTTTAAATTTGGGCTATTTCTTTTACTGTTTGTCCTAGTTTCCCATTTTTATGTCATTCAAGGACATTATATGGTAATTTCTTCAGTGGTTTTCTATCCTTTTTATTTTTCTAGTGAGGTAAAATAATTTTCCTTCAGGAATATTGAATTCTTTTCTCTGTTTGCCTGTCCTATTTACTTTAAGTCTTTTTAAAAATTCATTTTAATTTTTATGTAGCAAAGGAGTACACGTGCACATTTCTTACAGGCCTATATTGTAGAGTGGTGAAGTCTGGGCATTTAATGTACCCATAAACTGAGCAGTGAACATTGTAGCTAACAGGTAATTTTTCAGCCTTCACCCCTAACCCACCCTGCCACCTTTTGTATCTCCAGTGTCTACTATAAATCTTAACATTCTTAAGTTCTTATTTAAATTTTTTTTCCTTTTTAATCTCTTTATGAGGATAAAAATCAAGAACATCTTCCCTTTCTATGTTAAAAATTATTCCCCTTTAGAAATTTATTGGTAATATTTGCCAGATTATTTTCTACCTAAGCTGTTCTTTTTTACAAGTCAGAAAAGAATATGGTTCATATTAAGTAAGTACTATTGTAATGGACGTTTAGATTTTATTCCTCTTAACTCTGTGATGGTGTTCCTGGGAAGTGTGTTGAACGTGTAGTGGAGCAGTTCAGTTTTTTTTTTTTTAACGACAGTCTTAGTGTTGGGCTACTCTGGCCTCCATCCTCCTGCCTTATCCCCCTGTCTGTTTCTTAGTACGTTCTTTCAAGTAATGTTTTAAAATAAAAAGGATATTTTATTTTAAAAACCATACAAAAAAGGATTATAATTTTACTCTTTTCAGACCACCTTTATACTTCCTAATATTAATGCATAATATAAATTTAAAATTTATATCACCAATTTATAATATGATTGTTTCATTCAGAACTTACATCATATGGGCCAGGCATGGTGGCTCACACTTGTAACCTCAGCACTTTGGGAGGCTGAGGTGGGTGGATCACTTGAGGTTAGGAGTTTGAGAGCAGCTTGGCCAACATGGTGAAAGCCCGTCTCTAATAA